CTGGAAATCTTATTCAGGACAGCTAGACTCCGGGCCGAGAAATTTAAAACATGCCTATAAATTTCACTGTAGGTAGCGTGTAGTTAGTCTGGCGTGCAGACTAAACCAAATTTACTAGCGAAATGTTGCAAGACTTTTTATAAGAATTGGAGAACTGGACTTCTTCCATCGCTTTTTAATCAGGAGAGATTCTGCGTCTGACTTTTGACATTCCTTGTGACTCTAATTCCTCCATTTGGTGGTGGCAGAAACCTCCGCAGGGTCACAACCTGTCTGTTGGCCACATGTGTAGTGTGGTTTGCGGTTTTTGACCGTGAGAAAACATTGGAACGCTTCAAATGTTATATCTTTTCGATGGAAGTAAAGACGGCAGTTTGTTTGTTTGTTTTGTTGAGAAAAGACAAGGAAAGAAACTGTGAGAATGAAGGAGTGACGCTTGAAGTGTTTCGTCTGCACCCCACGGACCACACCCCACCATGGTTTTGCTTAAATATTACTAACGTGACTAAATCAAGGAAGGTGAAATGGGAGGAACATGTAACACGCATTTTGGACGTAAGAAAACATTAAAAATGTCAGTCTCGAAAGTCTGAGAGGACGACATCATTTTGGAGACATTCACGTGTATGGGATGATAATATTAAAGTGGGGTTTAAAATCGTGTATGAGGACGCGTCGTGGATTAAACTGGTATTGTATAGAGCTTCGTACTGGCTGACTCTTGTGAGCACGGTAACAAACCTACGGGTTCTATAGAAGGTGATGAATATCTTGTCCACCTTCGCTAATATCGTCTTTTCAAGAGGGATTTTGTTGCATTTTTTTTTATTTAAGGTGTTAGTGTTTAATCTTCTTTGCTTATTTTACTCCGTAAAACAGGTTTGTGGTATCGAGCACAATCTTTATCTTCAGTGAGATACTGAAATTCAAATTAACTTTCAGTTTAATCGCTGTAAGTACTGAGTCACTGGAGACAGGCATCTGAGATTTTGTAAGGAAGCATACTTGACAAAGTCTGTACGTAACATTATTCTTATGTTACGTAATTGGCGACTGTTCTATATCTGAATTCATAAATGAAAATTGAACGTATTCATATGTTACGTAATTGGCGACTGTTCTATCTCTGAATTCATAAATGAAAACTGAACGTATTCGGAATCTGTAGGACTGGAAATTATGCTCAGAATAGTTACCAAATCGTACAATTATTAATTCATATTGCAGTTTCATGCACCTTTAATGATTCATGTAGGCTATTTCATTTTATATTGTTATATTTTAAAATGCTCGTGCATTACGTTTTCTAATAGAAGTTTAATTAATTTCAGCCCGAAGTACAAATCTCTGGAAAATGGGAGTGCCTCTTCAGTTAATTTGACATTTACGCGTTGCTCGTAATCTTAACGCCCAGAGTCGATAATTTTTATATCTCGCATATCGTTCATTTGCCGCTGTTTTTGAAAGAGACGTTCGTTTATTGTCTTTTATAAGCCGAAACCTCGTACAACGTGGCGTATCCCTGGGAGAAGACGGAGAGCAGATTCAATACAACTCTGGCGCCACCGAGATGATGTTATTGAAACAAATGAGGGCGGACGACAAGTAGCTTATGATTACGTGATTGAAGTTGTTGTAGCCAGCTCTTGGCAATCAGAGTTATGTAAGTTAATACATGGGGCTGGGGGCTTCTCAAGACGTTGGGATGTCATTATTAATGTACGCCCGCTCTTGTCAAAAGATGACATTCAAATTGCCTGACTCACTTGATGTATGTCGTTCAACAAAAATAACAAATTATCTTCGCTGTAACGCATATTTCTTGCATTTGGGAGGTCCTTTGTTGTTCCCAACGATAAGAGTAGGTCTTTGGATGTTTTTCTCAGTCTCAACAGGAAGCAGTGAGTCGTGACTGTACATAGTTAGCATCCAACCCCATGCAATGACGTCCAACTACATTTTTATTTCCCATTCTATTCTGGTTCTGACTAAAAATTCGCTGGCAGATGGCGCTGTAACTCATTGTGTTACCCTTAAACCCTGCTTTGGCCAACACTAAAGGGCTAACAAATTACCAACCTCAGAATTAACAAAGTAACTAACCAACTACAAAACACCTAACAAACTAATCGAATTAAGAAACGTAGAACCAACTTATTTAATTAATGGAACGAAAACTTTCTTGAAGACGCTTAATTCTCAATTGGTCAAAAGAATTTCAATATATGGGAAGGTTGCAGATTCTTGTAATAAATTATATTAATTTTGTGGCTTTGGTAATCAACAGCTGTGAATTTTGTCACACCCTATCCCCCTTGTATTCATTTTAATGTATTCATCCCATTTACTCCTGGAGCTTACCATCTTCTCTTCAGACTCCGACCAAAATTTTGTATCGTCATGCATGCTACAGGCCACGATCATTTCATTGTCCTTGATTTTATGATTCTAAAAGCAGGCTGACTGGCAAACATGAAATTATAATATTGAAGGCTACGTCTTGGCATTGTGGCAGTTTGTTTATATCAGTCCAGTAGCAGGCAAAAGGCCATAGCTCGTGTGCAATTTCGCTGGCACGTGCTGTTCATGTTTCATGGTAACAACTGTGTAGACAGAACAGAATCAATTGACCTAAACAGCCTGTTAAATGCATTGTTCAATCTTATCACATATTCAAGATGTAACGTCCAGCGGAAGTCGATAGTATAAGAACAAAAAAAAGAAACGAACAAGGACTAATATTGTTTGTATGATTTAAAGAGCTCGCTGTGCGAATATGAAGGTGGGCTGTCTTCTGGTTTACACCACTACAGTCAAGGGATGTGTATTACGTCTCTTCTATTGGGCTACAAAACACTTGTCTTTCACGAGCGACAAAATATGGTATAGCTGCAAGGAACCAGAACTTAGGCTCGGGTTTGTCCCGAAACACATTTCTGCGCCAAATACACGTGCTTGATGCCTGTAACCTGCAGGATGTAGACGTCACATGTGCGAAAAGCGATGCCAGTGCAGAGTAGATCGATAGGACTTGAAGTAAACACGTGAAGGGTCTAAAGCAGTATTGTTTAATATATCGCTTTTTAGTTTATTGAACCGTGTATTTAAATTACAGGGACTAGACCTAAATAGCGTAAAATAAATAGATCGTTATTGTTAATTAAATGGGGAACGAATTTGAGCAAGCATTTGTGGCTTCCTTTCGTGACTGTACCCGACATATGCCTGAGGAAAACGGTTGGAATGTTGAGTACAGGTAAAATTCACTCCTGTGACTGGTGTTAGGGACGGTAAAATTATTCTAAATATAATCTTTTCACAGTGATAATTAGTTAATAGGCTAGTACAGAGGTTCCCAAAGTGTGGGGCACCCCCCATGGGGAGGGGCGAGTGGTTTTCTGTGTTGTTTGTATGAAATCTTTTTTTAACGAAATATGGAGAAACATTATTAACATCCTTTGCTTGGTTGAGGCAGTTTAGTTGTCTTACAGTGCTGTAGAATTCAGACTCGTAGAGCATCGGCGGTTTTAGGAAGTAAACGGCAATATAAGTTTACGTACAGTTAGGGACCCATCTCACTAATCAAGGTATGAAGCGTATATTTTATTACAGTATTTTTAAATTAAATGGATTGAATAATATATATTAAATTATAAAAAAAAGGGTACTCATAGCTAAATTTTATGAAAAATCTGTTTGCTTGCACTTGTTTTGGAAGGGGGGCGTGAAATTTATGAAATGTTTTAAGGGGGGCGCAAGGCATAAAATTTTGGGAACCTCTGGGCTAGTAGAACAGTGAGTGAATGAGTGGATGTGTTTCGCTTTATGTGTTCGCTTCTTTAATGAGCCTGTTTGTATCACATTTGAAGGAGTAATGCTGGCGTTTTGGATCTATATAACAATGATTTGCAAATTTATAACAATTTCACTTTTCGAATTTGGATATTCAACGACTTAATTTGTTTTCTGTTCTGTTTGCACTTCGTTTCTAACTCTCGGCGTCTGTTGTAAAGCCACAGTCTTTGCTAAAGATGACGAAAACTGGATAATTTCACTGACACTGTTAAAAATTAAACACAATCAAAGCTCTTATAATTATTCATTGTCTGGTCTTTTTTCATCGTGCTTGTTTAAAAAGGAGAAACCACGACGTTTCGGAAACTGGCGCTGTTTCCGTCTTCAGGCGACAGATACCTACTCAGTTGGGTCCGTTAGATAGACATTGAATAATTTTAAGTGTAATCCACCATCGTCAGCACTATTTAGAGTTTAATTATATTCAAACCTGTTCAGAATCTTGTTTCGAAAACAGATATCTAGTTTTTAGTACTTAAAGGCGATACATTACTTTGGAAGCGAACAAAAATATTATATAAGAACAAATTTTATACGCTAAATTAATGTTCTGGAAATAATATTTCTCTCTTTTCTCACGCTTACCTTTACAAACTTCAGAATGGGAATAATCCCTTTTATTAGTACTATATCTCAACTGTACTGGGCTGACACGCTTGGCAGTTTACAATAACTTCATCTGAAACGTTCAGAACTTCGGATAAGGGGCCCAACACCCCGAACCCCGCACTACCGCTGAATGTAGACTTCCTGGAGGCAGTTTCTTTAGACCGGGAGGGCAGAGAAAATAACTTGGTTCCTTGTGCGGTATAGATAAGATACCACAGCTGCAGGTTTCGAGTGGGCCAAAGATAAAGTAGGTGGAAGAGGAGAAGAAACGGTAGGTAGGAGGAGATGAAGACACTGTAGGCGTGTTTTTAAAGATCGGAAAGGGGGGACAGTGGGTGGAGCCAAGATGCTTAGAAGGCGGGACTTGTGTAGTAAAGAAAATCTTTGTGGCAGCACACGTCTTTCCGGGAAAAATTACAAGCTGTCTCAAAATATCTTGAACATGAGGGTGTAGTATTTCAAATGTAAAATTGTTCCTTTGTCTGTAGTCTAAATTATAGCACTAAATGTTTCGGAGCTGGATTCTGCTTCCATCTACAGAAATTCAAAATGCTGGACTCCTCTGGAACTAGCCCCGGACATGGTCTGGGTGAGGACCACAGCGTTCTGGATGCGTTAAGGGGAAAAATCATTGCTCGTTCCGTAGTCGGACATCACAATGGCTGACGTCGTGCGCGACTCTCCAACCGAAACATTTTATCTTCCGTTATTATTTCCAGCACGAGATTCCGTGCCTTTGAATGCGCATTAACTTCTTTTCTGCAACTGCAGATTAAGGCTTTATTTGTCATGGTAAATGGTTACAGTCCGCGTCTCAAATCCTTTAAAAATCTTTCATCCTGGTTCTTGTACGCTTTACCCCTTGTCATTCTTACAGAAATCGCAGTCCATTTGCAAGTTGCGTTCTAATCGGATTTCCTCAAGGATATTCCCCTGAATTGTTAATATTTCGGTAGCGAACTGATCACAGATGAATCTCGTAAGTTGGGACGAGGAAATATTTGAAATAAAGACGTCTGAGTTGCCTGTTTAGTGGCATTACTTTTGTGTCCATATTGAATGAGCATTGAATCTCTTTAGTGGCATTAGAGTTCTTTTTATTTAACATTACATACACCGCCAGGCCTCCTTCCGGCCTGGCAAATTTAAAATTAAACGTAAGTTCTAATGGAGCATTGCGCTTTGAATCCTAACTCCACGTGCAACATCTATACAGCATCTCCTGCAGTTCTTATTACGGGCTTATTAATTTTCAAGTTACTTGTTTCTAAGCATGTCTGTACTGCCAGGCCCTTCTACAGCCGGGCAATTTTAAGTTTAATCGACATCAGCAATGTTTCTGTAACAAGGTCATTTTATTTTGAAGCCCAATGTCAAGGTCTGTGTTCAGCTTTCTTTCTGTATGGTTTGTTATCTTTAATTGTTGTTCGGGGTCCTGCTTCGAGCACATGTGCATGTAAGTCAACCACGCTGGTTTCTGGGACGCCTCCGAGTGTATACAGGCGCAAATAGAAACTGATGTGACTCTAAACTCACACACACAGTATTTAATTTGATTTACTGCTTCAGTAACTTATTTTCAGTTCTTTCCAAACCGTTTATATTTCTTTCTTTGATGTATGTGGCATGTACAAGAAGACGTGCTACGTTATCATCCTTTGCATCTTCAGTTACTAAATTAATAATTATTTATATTTAACTTTGCTGATGTCTGCGTATGTAACGTGTACAAAGTAGTTACCAAGGAAAAATTAATGACTAATGACTAATCTTATTCATGGCGAATTCAGTAACAAAAACGGCAAGATCAAAAATAATAAATTGTAAAGACAGAAAAATATCTTAGATAAGAATAATAATTGTAAGAGCGTTATTAATCTTGAAATAAAAATATAACACTGGCTTGTAACAGTTAAGCTTATAATTTTGAAACAACAACAATAATAAATATTTTAAAAAGTATTAATAGTAAAAAGAAGCTAATAACGCTAATAATAAATCATTATAAGAATAATAATCGTTAAAGTGAATGACAGTAATAAAGTAAAATAAAATAAATTATAAAAACGAAACAATGAAAATAATCGCGAAACAAAACAGAAGTAAAATGTAACAAAATACAAATAAAGAAAACAATTTTTATAAAGTTAAAATAAATTCATCATGATGTAGTAGTCAGTAAATAATTTTGGTCTTATGTTGGCCCATTTCAGTCTCATTCGTCGAAAGTCCTTAGGCTACTCATCGTTCTCAACACATTGCTCCGTGTGGGATTGTTAATTGTTTAATATACTTAGAAGTCTGTTTGTCTGCATTCTGTGGACATGTTGAAGCCAACTGTAATGTGTTTCAACATTCTGTCAAGCATATCTTCTTTTTCTAGTGCTCTCAATGTTTTAATTTTTCATAGTCCATCCGTACAACAAAACATTTATATAACAGCAATAAAATAAAAATGACACCAGTTAATATAAACCAAAATAGAATACTGATGATAATAATGGCATAATAACAATCATAATAAACACTTTAGGCGCGTAACAGCTGTAAATGCACGGGATTCTGTCAGTTTCTGTCCTCGGTTCTTACTAAGCATCCACGCGGCGCCGTTAAACCGTCAGATGGACGCTTGGGTGTGAGTTGTGATGTATACGAGGTCAGGCCAACCCCTCACTCAGCCGCCATCAAACCACTTCAGGCTCGTATGCCCCTGCTGAAGAATACAGTATCGGAAGTTGAAGGTGAAACATAAATTACGAAGGAAATTTCCCCTCCCGTACCTTATAAACCTTCTCCTCTTTCTAAGCCGTAATTGACTTAATATCTCAGCTGTCCAGCGCCGTTTCATCCTACGTTTCAACGTTTATAACAATCGAGCCTCGAATTTTGTGTTACTACAAGCAAAAGACTCGAAATTAATCTCGTGTATATTAAATTGTCACATTTGTGGCTATGATTAGAATTATAATAAATTCAGTCCAGTTCCTTTATTAATGTGTCTGCCAAAACAGATTACGACAGGCAAACACTAAATAAATTAAATAAGGACAAATCAAAGTAAGTTCAGCTGCAACATATAATAAATCTAAAGAGAACCCGTACTGAGAAACATTGCTTTCACTAACAATACTTAAGAATCTGTTTTTCTCATTTCCATCAGTGGCGTACTTAGCTGAATATCGTTTGTGATGTTTTGAACCACACTGCACACATTTGGAGATTGCTCGGTTTGCACATTCAAATATTCACTGTGTCTCAAAGCGTACAGCCACATTATGTGGTTATATGCAACAAACTTGTCCGTACTTGAATATTACTCAGGAAATGAGAGTTACATCCAATAAACATATTCTGGTTACCTCAAAATATTATATAATCTATTTTGGAATCGTTCACGTATCGAGAGTTACATCCAATAAACATATTCTGGCTACCTAAAAATATTATGTAATCTATTTTGGAATCGTTCACGCATGAAAGAAAGGGAACATATAACAGACTTGTAAGGCCAAAATTCAAATTCGAATTAAGTATCGATTCTACTTAAGCTTTGTACATAGCGAGATGAATTCGCCGTATGTTTGTGAAAATGCGAGAAGAAAGGGAACATATAACAGACTTGTAAGGCCAAAATTCAAATTCGAATTAAGTATTGATTCTACTTAAGCTTTGTACATAGCGAGATGAATTCGCCGTATGTTTGTGAAAATGCGATGTGGAATATTTCCTTTCCAGTTGCAACACTCGTAAGAGCTTCCTCGATATGTTTTCGTTTAGTTGGCGGAAATGAATGTCTCCTCCATACGCAAGATTTCAGACGTTTCGTTCTGTATGTGTGTGTCGAGTGCATGTGAGGGAGAGAGAAAATCCATTACTCGTTGTCGGATATTGAAAGTTAGAAATTATTACCGGTCCAAGTATTGGAAGAAGACGTGAGGAGAATAAATATGGTCTACGTAGATTTATCGCTTGGGTTTACGTTAAACTTGGAATTGTACAGCGCGTATGTAGAAGATTATAAATGTTTATGAAATTTTGATTGTAAATCATAGAAATACCTAGGTGTAGATTGGAGGATAATATTAAAAACTGATCATGTTGTAAATTATGTACATGCAATACGGAGAAATCAACTCAGTATATAAAATTTTTGGGTGTTCAACTACAGATTAAACATCCTTACTGAAACAGAACTAGACATACGATATTTTTCATGTTGGACTGGAGAAATATTCTATCGGTTTAAATATCTGAAAGGAAATGTATTTAATAACTATTTAAACCGACGTACGAGTAAGGCTATATTTTCCTCTTATACTACAATATCTCCGTTAGTGAGAAATAGAGATGAGATCGATAAACCCAAAGGGAAAACACACTGGAACGTTTGCTTATATTAGCAGCATCTACGCAGACCCGTCTCTTCTCCATATCTTTCGGAATATCGAATGAATCAAACTGTCAACTGGGCAGTCTGGAGCTAGGGAGACAGGTTCATCGCATCCATATCATGTCTGAAAATAAGACATCCTTTTCTGGTTTACCGAAAGCTCGGTGGTAGACGAGAGCGGCCAGAAAACAGAAGAACGCTAAGATGGAGAAGGAGGGAAAAAAACTTCACTTCACTTCACTTCCTCTGAAAATAAAAGAAAATGTTTTCGCGCATAAATCAAACGCATGTTCTTACCTACAGTTGTTTACATTGGCATTGCAGTTGATGGTGTCATTTTACTAAAAGCTTTTTTGGGTTTGATGAAAATGAGGAAGGTCTGCAGGTTTAACATTTGCAAAGTTCAAACAAATCGACGATTTGATTTAGGGAAAGGGTTACACGATCTAATAAGGAACACTGCATATAAGTAAAACAAACAGTTGAACTTCAATATTCTCCTCATAGCTGCAATATTGTGTCAGTGTCTTCACAGAAATGCATTTATATTGATAAGTGTGCAGACAAACATTCGTCAGTAAACATGACATTGTGTGCTCGTACCAAACTGAAATATTATTTTGTAGAAACCAGTTTGTCACTTGTTAATCAGCTACGAAAAAAGAATATTGGCTGATTTTTAAATTTCTACTACATTTAACTTTAATCAAGAATGTGTTAATGTGTTTCATATGACAAGCTAACCTAG